GGTCATCATATGACGAAGACCCGTGTCAGAAAACACTTGTCCTATTTCCTGACAAACCTTACCTAACCTAACCTTTTGTGTTAGTATGACTTTGTAAATGGTCCAAGTCTGACCAAATTGTCGTCGTAAGCTCCTCTCTCCTAATATGTGTGTTATTTGTATATTGTTCCACTCACCATTGTGCCTTTTTGTTCTTTAAGTTTCGCTTCTCTCACTTGTTTCCTGACCAGAGAGCTGTATAACCCTTGTGGTTTAGCTCTTCTTTCTGATTATAATAATAATGATGACCAGAGAGTTTGAGTGTAAATATTGTTAAATTGCGTTTAGGAAAAACCATTATACTGCATACTGTACATATATGCCAGGATCTTTATATTTAGTGCATACTACAGTACATATACTGCAATGTTTTCAGCCAGGAATATAGGGAGTTTTACTTATGAAAATGGTTGGTAGTACTGACAGATTGATGAGCAAGACGCATGTGCAGCTGTTAAGTATCTTTATTGTTGAAACTTTTCGTCAGCATAGTAGACTTCTTCAGTCATATTAAAGGAGACTAAATATGGAGACAGCAGAAGTAGTAGCGATGTAAATATAATGTGATCAGTCTGGACTATAGAGATGAACTGTTCTCCAGGATGAGGGACTGATTATCTCAAACACTGTGTATAAGGGGGTTATAAACAGGAAGATGGATGGGGGGCTTGAACCGTGGTCCATATATATGGAGTTATAGTAATTAGCTACTAAAATCCCTTGAGAGATACGAGTCTGAGGGGAGGGAGGGATGATGTATGATGCTACATGGTTCGTTAATGGGGCTTAAAGCCTATCAACTATACAAGGATCATTAGGGCTGCATGTCACCTCTCCACCACCAGACACAAACACTTCAATACCTAAAATAGAGATTAAACTCTCAGTATATTTGCACTGAGAGACATACACCTAATAGTATGCATAACAATTTGTAAACGGGGGAAATTATTTATGAACATTATTTCTCAGTCCACAGCAGGATTCGAGCCTACTAAGGCATCGAGTGGCGTAAGTACTATGTACTTTGATGGAGAGTGTGTGTAGGTTCGAATCCTGATGTGGACTGAGAGATAATGTTTGTACCTCATTATGTATTTAACCTTTATAGAAGCAGAGGATGACCTAGTCTTGAAACAAGGTCAACTCTCACCAAGGAAGGGACAATGCCAGAGAATTTATAACATTGCTTATATTGGAATTTTTTCTATAGACATAATAAGTGTTCGTAAGTTAAAGAGAATTATATCAATAATTCATAAGATTTCGTTAATCTTCAGTAAGTTTTAAAAAAATCCCTTACCTTTTTATAAATTTTAAGTTACATTTTATAGCGATTTCTTTGACATTTTGAAATGGAGTTTTTTTTTTTATTTATGCTCTTATTAAGAGAGATGATAAGTGTGTGTCGTTCCCAGCACTTCACCACCACCTGTGTGTCGTTCCCAAATTAACACCACCTTGTGGTGTCGTTCCCACACTTCAACATACCTATGTGTGTTTTTAGCACACTCACACGTGTGTCGTTCCTAGCACCGACACCACCTGTGTGTCGTTCTTAGCACCACACCACACCTGTGTGTCGCTCCCAGCACCTCACCACCACCTGTATGTCGCTCCCAGCACCACACCACCACCTGTATGTTGCTCCCAGCACCACACCACCACCTGTATGTCGCTCCCAGCATCACACCACCACCTGTATATCGTCTCCAGCACCATACCACCACCTGTGTGTTGTCCCCAGCACCACACCACCTATGTGTCGCTCCCAGCACCATATCACCAATGTGTCGCCCCCAGCACCATATCACCAATGTGTCGTCCCCAGCATCATACCACCTATGTGTCGTCCCCATCACCACTGCTGCTACTTGATACTTGCCGGCTCGTTCTTCCGTTACCTGAGTGCATGTTGGCGCGGCAATGTTACCATGATATGCAGGGAGCTTCTGGCACAGTGACATTGAGTGCCTCGTTGCAACTAAGTTATGCCGGTGCTGCATCATTCCCGGTCAAGGTAGCCTGCCACTCCACTTAAAGCGTCAAGCTTAAGTTGTTTTACCTTCCTGGGTAATGTGTGTGTGTCTGTGTTCTTTATACCTTAAGTGTTACTGTTATTAATTGTGACCGAGGGTATGTGAATTGTTATGAGGTTAGCAACGATAGCTTTTGTACTGTGTCGCAAGGAGGCCTGGTCACAGACCGGGCCGCGGGGGCGTTGACCCCCGGAACTCTCTCCAGGTAAACTCCAGTTAGCTATTGTAAATGACTGTATTACGAATTATTAGCTATTGTAACTATTACGAATAGTTAGTTATTGTAGCTATTACGAATAGTTAGCTATTGTAACTGTATTACGAATAGTTAGTTATTGTAGCTAACTGTATATGAGACAGTCATTTTTAGTTATTGTGACTAACACTGTGTGAGGAAGGCACAGTAATTATCGTTTCATTACAGTACTGGTACATAATACCAGTAAGACGAATTAAACCAATGTGCTACACCTGGGTATCTTTATTAGCAACGGTATCTAAACTGTTTTGAGGTAGGTGAGAGTGAACACAAGAGTGAACATTCAGAGTAACATAAAAGTGAACACTGAACAAGCCTCCACACAGAACACTCTTGGGATCTAGAGCCAGAGAAGGTCCTAGAGAGGCAGTCCTAGAGAGGCAGTCCTAGAGAGGAGGTCCTAGAGAGGAAGTCCTGGAGTGGTCCTAGAAAGGCTGTCCTAGGGGAGGTCCTAGAGAGGCAGTCCTAGAAAGTCCTATACAGGGAGTCCTAGGGAGGTCGTAGAGACGTCCAAGAGAGGTCCTAGAGAGGCAGTACTAGAGAGGAGGTCCTAGAGAGGCAGTCCTGGAGAGGTCCTAGAAAGGCTGTCCTAGGGGAGGTCCTAGAGAGGCAGTCCTAGAAAGTCCTATACAGGGAGTCCTAGGGAGGTCGTAGAGACGTCCAAGAGAGGTCCTAGAGAGGCAGTACTAGAGAGGAGGTCCTAGAGAGGCAGTCCTAGAGAGGAGGCCGTATAGAAGTTCTATAGAGGCAGTCCTAGAGAGGAGGTACTAGAGAGGCATTCCTAGAGAGGAGGTACTAGAGAGGCAGTCCTAGAGAGGAGGTGCTAGAGAGGCAGTCCTAAGAGGAGGTCCTAGAGAGGCAGTCCTAGAGAGGAGGCCGTATAGAAGTTCTATAGAGGCAGTCCTAGAGAGGAGGTACTAGAGAGGCATTCCTAGAGAGGAGGTACTAGAGAGGCAGTCCTAGAGAGGAGGTACTAGAGAGGCAGTCCTAGAGAGGAGTTACTATAGAGGCAGTCCTAGAGAGGAGGTGCTAGAGAGGCAGTCCTAGAGAGGAGGTTCTAGTACCTGCAGGATGCTGGGCCGTCCCAGTACCATCAAACTTAAGTTGTCTCTCGCGTCTTCATAGGTCGACAAGTTGCTCTCACTTAATTATAACTTATAACTGTCGTGATGTAGTTGTGTGTCAGCTGCTGACGTGGAGTGATGGTGGTAGTGGCAGTAGTGGTGGTAATAGTGATAGTGGGAGAATATGTATATTACAAGTATAAACACGTGTAAGGGTGATGATTAGATAAGGAAGGATGTAAAATGTATTAAGTAATAAGCACCGTAGTGCTCATTACCTGCTACTAGACTGAGGGACTGATTACCTCATCTTCCACTGTCTGCTGTATATATATCTGCAGTCTTCATATTATGTCCATGTACTGTATTGCTAAAGCTGCTGGAGGGCGAAACGTCTTCAAGTAAATACACCCAGATTGTAGATAAATGGTTCAGAGAACCGACAAGTTAATGAATGAGATTTGTGCAGCACTTGGGTATCTTTATTGTGGAAACGTTTCGCCAACCAGTGTCTTCCTCAGTCCAATTCAGAGAAGAATGATTGAAGATCAGAAGGAGTTTGATGTAATCAGTCCCTCAGCCTGGACTCGAAGTGTTCAGCCCATCAGTCTTGATAAAAGTACAGCATATAGGTAGGTAGGTACAAGGTTTGTCAGGAAACAGAACAAGTGTTTGCTGACGCGGATCTTAGTCATGTGATGACCCGCAGCTGGAGCTTTTGGTCATCTGACCGAGGCCTTCCACTAGCTTAACCACTCAACCCCACTAAAAAATATAGTCATGATTATAACCATTAGATATTGATATTAGTTCTTGTAGAGCATATATGTGGAGAATAGGTTTATATACTGCAGACAGGAAAGATGAATTATTATTATTATAATCAAGGGGGAAGCGCTAAACCCGGAGGATTATACAGCGCCTGGGGGGGGGGATGTGGAAGGCATTCAGGCTTAATTCGGGGAACTGGAGCACAGATCCAATTCCAAATCAAGAGCCCTCACCAACATCAAGGGAAACTTCCTGAGGGGAGGAAAATGAAGCAAACGTAGACGGCGTCACAAGTGGAAAGATCCACAGGGTGGAAATAGGTCATGTCTATAGTTAAGTGTCATATTCATCAACTTGTTGGTTTTCTTAACTGTTTGTTTACAAGATGGTTTGGTATTTATTCTTGAAGAGTGTCTGGTATTTTAAATCCCTGGAATACTCCATTTAGTAGGTTTAAAACCCAGAATACTCATTTACTAAGTGTAAATCCCCTTTGCACTACACTTTACTAAGTAATGGAGGATGAAGGAACGAACCTTCTGCACTCCACTTTACTGGCCGAGGGAGATCATAGTCCCCGCGGCGCGGTCTCGGACCAGGCCTCCTGGTTGATGCTCTCATCACTTAGACTGTTACAGCAGGAAATAATAATCAGTGCATGGATACGTGGGGTTTCCCCTGGGTGTGCAGTCTGGTATACTTCGTACAGGCCAGTAGTCCTGCAGTAGGTTCTTCCTGGGAAATCTTTGAGGGCGATCAGATAATCATTCAGTCAGACAATCAGTCACTGATGGTGGTTTCTTTGGTTCCGGGGTAAAGAAATCTCTGTCAGTAGTTATAGATTTATTCTTAACCAATGCAACACGACATATATTAAAATAAAATAATAGAAATAATAACAATAATAATAATAATAATAATAATATGACCTTAGTTACAAGAAGACATGTTCTATAGTTCTGGGGTTCTCAACTATAGTCCATGGACTTCTCGGTGGTCTATGTACCTCTCGGTGGGCCATGGGGTAATTTTTTTTTTGAGTTTCTTCCTGTTATAATGAAAATTGTCTTAGTGAAAGGTTTTTGTGGTGGATGTGTACTCACCTATATGTGGTTGAATGGGTTGAATCACAGCTCCTGCGTGTGTACTAGTGGGTTAATACTGAGCATTACACATTAATATTCTATGTGAGAGGTTGTATATTAATATGCATGTGTAAGATTGTATAGAAATATTCTGTTATTTTCTCTCCCTTTAGCGTAAATGAGACAACAGATATGAGCGAAACGTGTTGGTATATATGACTGAGGACAGGTCTGGGGAGGGCGTCCACTCGACGAATAGAGTGAACACGAAGAGGACAAGACTCTCCTTTTTTTCTTCTTGAAAAGAACAAGACTGTTCTTTTCTTCTTGAAGAGGGCAAGAAGGGGCTCTCAGAAGCGCGTGTCTTCAAGGCTGGCGAACTTGTACCTACAAGGCCAGCGAGTGTCGATGTCGTGTATGGGAATGATCATCTCTGACGGTCTCTCCCCTGCCATCTCTTCACGTACCTGTGATCAGAGAGGCAGTGATATACTGCTACTATTGATCACTGTTAATAACACTCATATTGGCAGTGATACAGTACCGTCGATCACAGTTAATAACACTTATACAAGCATTGCTACAACATGGAGAATCACAGCTAATAACACACGTACAGTGATACAGTACCGTCAGTCAGTTAATAACACGCATACAGTGATACAGTATGCACAATCACAGTTAACACTCATACAAGCAGTGCTACAACATGGTGAATCACAGTTAATAATGATGATACAGGTTGCTCTAGATCATCCACTCGACACAGTGCCCAGGACCTACTGTAAACAAACATATGCCCTCTCCCCATCCCCCCCCCAAAAAAAAAGGAACTTGACAAATCTAAGTCTAGTCCATGACTTGAAAAATCTGACCTATGAAAAAAAACTTGTGGAAATATAGGGAGTGCTGTTGTACTTGTCTGTTTTTATTAATCAGACAAATACCAAGATCTCTTAAAAGACGGTTAGATTAATAATTGACTTTCAGACATCGGCCAACAAATATAACAAAAACTGACAGTAAACGGCAAATCTGTCAGTCATATATCAGCCATTAAGACATCCAACGATCATGTAACTACCAGTTAACAGTTATATAACAACCAGATAACTGTCATGTAACAACCAGATAAGTCATGTAGCTACCAGACAGCAGTCCTGTAACTACCAGATAACAGTCTTGTAACTACCAGATAATAGTCCTGTAACTACCAGATAACAGTCCTGTAACCACCAGATAACTGCCATGTAACAGCGAGACATCAGACAACCAGCAACCCCTAACAGTCAAGCAAAAACCACAATAACTAGCTGACATCCCACCAGGGCAGGCAGCCATCAGCCATAACATCCAGTCAACCAGTACATCACATCTGTGAGTACTGAACCTCACCCATTACCTCTTCCACCCTCTTGAGTACTCTGAGCAGGTTGAGTCCTGCCAGCTTCTTCAGGTCCTGCAGAGACCAGGTAGGGTCCTGCAGCAGCTCGGCAAACAGCTCAGGATACTTGGACACGTCCTCCAGTCCTTTAGGAGTCCTGCAGGAAGATACGCAGCTTGAGATATCCTATACAACAAGGAAATTCACCTTTCTCTGACTTATGAAGAGGCAACATTGTTCGGAGATATCAACTTGTATTGATTTATGTGCTAATAATAATAATAATTAATAAAAATTATTTTATAAGATACATCTGCTATAAAGATTTCTTATATGGAATTGCTCATAATTATTTAAGGCATTTTTCAATTAAAAAAAAAAAGGGGGGGGGGGGGAAACTGAGAGAATTGTGCATCGCTAAGAAGGATCTGATCCTCTTGATCCTCAGAGATGATCCACCGATATATCATTGAAACACTTTGAGCCACCCTCACAATACTTCATAATAACTCTTCATATGTAGTGTTAATTATCGAAAAAATAAAATAAACGAGATTAATGTCAATAATACCGTAGAAGTAATAAATAAAAGAGCGTTTTACTGGTAATAAGACAGGTGTTAGGAAGGAGTTAACTTTACTGGTAATAAGTTAGAGAAGCTAGGTGTCAGGAAGAGCTGGAAGATATACTCACCTATTGATACCATCGTAACCAGCACCTATTCCCACGTAGTCCACCCCAGCCATGGTACGCACGTGGTTGATGTGAGCTGTGGGGTGAACACGTGGTTAATGTGAGCTGTGGGGTGAACACGTGGTTAATGTGAGCTGTGGAGCGAACACATGGTTATAATATATATATATATATATATATATAAAATATATATATATATATATATATATATATATATATATATATATATATATATATATTAAAACACGTACCTACCACGTCTTAGAGTCGAGAATTGAAATACGTACCTACTACGTCTTGCAGGAGGATGTGTTGAGACACGTACCTACCACGTCTCGCAGGGAGGCTGAGGGAGTGCAGGTGAGGAAGTCACTATAGAAGCTGATCATCATTATACCACCGTTCACAGCCTGTACAACACAATGCCACCACTTATTTAGTCACTGCTCCTCACACAATTATCTTTGCTCAATACATCGTATAAAATTTATATCAGATCAAGGACAGATTATATTCAATGAATAACAGGCATACACTTCGTATAAATTGAAATATAATGGGGCCTTTTGAAACATGGAATATAGATAAAGGTTACTAAAATGCAAATTTAATTCATTTAAATAGAAATGGACGTGGGGAAAGTGTGTGAGGCAGTGGGTAGGTTCCAAGTGTGTGAGGCAATGGGTACGCTGAAAGTGTGTGAAACAGTGGGTAAGTTGCAAGTGTGTGAGGCAGTGGGTAAGTTGCTAGTGTATGAGGCAGTGGGTAGGTTACAAGTGTGTGAGGCAGTGGGTGAGTTGCAAGTGTGTGAGGCAGTGGGTAGGTGCAAGTATGTGACGTAGTGGGTAGGTTGAAAGTGTGTGAGGCAACGGGTAAGTTGAAAGTGTGTAAGACAGTGGGTAGGTTGTGACAGCAGATCTCACTCTCTAAGGAGCTGAGATAGCAGGTCCCACTAACCAAGGAGCTGAGATAGCAGGTCCCACTAACCAAGGAGCTGAGATAGCAGGTCCCACTAACCAAGGCGCTGAGACAGCAGGTCCCTCTAACCAAGGAGCTGAGATAGCAGGTCCCTCTAACCAAGGAGCTGAGATAGCAGGTCCCACTCACCAAGGAGCTGAGGATATCGTCAGGTACGTTCCTCTCTATATCACAGAGCGCCCTAGCAGCTGAGTGTGAGAATATGACAGGGGCACGTGTGGCGCCTAGCACATCCCTAGCAGTCCTAGCTGAAGCGTGAGACAGGTCCACCATCAGTCCCAGGCGGTTCATCTCCCGGATCATCTCCTGAGGATGCACAGGTAAGTAAGATGCTTCCATGTAACGAACAAGAAGAAAATGAGTAATTTGTTTGGGTCTATTGGTTCCTACTAGCGTTTCTTTATTGTCATTATTATTATTAGTAGTAGTATTACAATATTATTAGTAGTAGTAATAATAAATATATCATAGACATGGTACTCGTCAAAGAGATAATAAGTAATATTTTACTGCACTATGCAGGACAAACTAATACAGAAACCATAAAAAAATAGCAAAACAATAGAATTTATAAAAGCAAATTAAATTGCGATCCAACCTACCAACGCTTTCATTCTATTATCGGAAACTGGCCAATCTTTTATTTTCGCTGGATTTCATTTGTGATTGTGCTTTGACGAGGCGAGAAAATGATCGGACAAGGATGATATATTGGACGATGAATGTGAGTACATAGTTAATGGGGAGGTTTAAAACCTATCGATTATACGAGGAGTCATTCAGGGTTCATGTCGCTTGTTTATCAACAGTCGAGAATGCTTTGAATACCTTAAATAGGTGTTAAAGTTACATCTCAGTGGATAACTGAAGTGTAATAAACACTTGTCAGTGCTCAATAATAACCCACATGGAGACAATAACTCAGGAGATTAACTGGTCTGTATATTTTGATCCCCTTCTGGGATCCTCTTCATCTGGTGAAGAGGATCCCAGAAGGGGATCAAAATAAAGGAATCAAAAATAAAAGAATACCTCGGGCATGTTTCCTTACACCTGCTGCTTCTTTTCACCTAGCAGTAAGCCTATACCTGGGTGTTAGTCGACTGTTGTGGGTCGCATCCTGGGGGTGTTAACATACCTTAGAGGTGGGCTTTGAAATGAGCTAAGGTAGGATAGCATCTCTTGGCCTGTAAATTTAACTGCAAAAAAAGCAGCAAGGAAAGGAAAAAAAAAAGTGAGGGGGAGGGTGAATATTTAAGCAGCGACACCGAAGACCCTATCTTGAGTGACCCGTCCTGACCTGGAAACTGAGTGAATAAGACGTGGAGAGAGAGTGAGGGAGACGAGGAGAGAGAGTGAGTGAAGGACACGAGGAGAGAGAGGGAGTGAATGAGACGATGAGAGAGAGGGAGTGAAGGAGACGAGAAGAGAGGAGGAGAGAAGAGAGGTAGAGAAGGAGACGAGGAGACAGGGGGAGAGAAAAGGAGAGGTAGAGAAGGAGACGAGGAGAGAGGGGGAGAGAAAAGGAGAGGTAGAGAAGGAGACGAGGAGAGAGGGGGAGAGAAAAGGAGAGGTAGAGAAGGAGACGAGGAGAGAGGGAGGCAGTGAAGCAAGAGGAAGCAGAATATCAATGTCAATGTACGTGAACTGAAGCTGTAACAGTGACACCTGAACTCAATGCAGGAGCCAGCCATCTATCTCGCCTGCACTTTATAGGTGCAGACCAAGTAATATGAGGCAACTTTGTTGATTTATTATGGCAGTCTTGTTCATCACAGAAGTTGATCAGTAATTACTCGCTTGATATCACTCCCAGTCAGGAAGGTGCCTTGATGCTGCTCAAGGGCTCTTCATGCAAGAAATTTACAGCTGCTGCTGTAACATCCCAGTTCTACCACTGTAGAACTACGTAACCTTGCAGTATGTATGTATGTATCCTGTGTTGAACGTACCGAATAATTTAGTTCAGGAGAATTTGACCCGGTCTTTGCAAGTTTCTCTGGAGTCTGAACACGCTGGTTTGTTTACAGTTCAGTTGGTGTCTTGTTCTAACACCGTGCGGCTGTCGTGTTCCTATATTGTAGTTTTGTTGTAAATATTACAGTACTAATATTACTAAAAATTAGTGACCATGGCCTCGAAAGTGAAAATAATTAGAAAACAATCACAATTGAATTAAGAAAAGAACTATTCAGAGTGAAGTGGTTAAAGATTATTATTATTATAATCAAAAAGAAGCGCTAAGCCACAAGGGCTATACAGCGCTGCAAGTGGTTAAAGAGCTTGCCATAGTTTTATGGAGAAATCTACACTACCATACTAACGAACAAAGCTATTAAAGGAATAAATGTGGTTAAAGGAGTCTTGTCTTACTGCACAAAAATCACACAATTGAAACTGAAGAACTTGTTAGGATGGCGTGTGAAAGTTTGAGGCAGTAATTTATAAAAAGGTAAAAAAAAATGGTGGATAAGATAACCCTGGAACTAGTACCCAAAGTGAAGTTAAGGGGAACAGGAGTTGTTTGATAGATTGAAAAAGAGTGGGATTTCAGTGCAGCGAGGCATGGGGAGGCTGCCAGTTCTTAGCGAAGTGGCAAAAATATTTATGGGGGTGGGGTATGAAAACCTTTGACCGTGGGGATATGTCCCTTAACTAGTTTATGAAACAGGTTTCTTCTGGAAATAGATGCTAAAGAGCAGCCAAGAGGAAGCATAACCAGGACACTTAGCCAATGAGAGATCGGTGTGCGGTAATGCGGCTGGGGATTTCAAATTTAAATCCTTGCTGGTTTACCTCTCAGAACCCCCCTTCCACAGTTAAAAAAAAACATTGTACCAAAAAAGTAAACTATGTGGAGGGCCTGGGTGACCAGGCAATTTTTCACCGAGTGGGTGAGAGAAGTGTTTGCTGTAATGTGAAGGAGTACCTATAGCAATTTTTCCTTAAAGGCTCTGGTGGTGATTGGCAGTGCTGCTGCTAACCTTCTATCCTTGGGGATGATTTGGTGATGGATCATAGCTTTATTAGTGAAGCTATATTTTACGTAATACCACTCTGGTCATAATCCTTCAGAATCAATAGGAGTTTTCGAGTCTTTAAAAATTTACACGAAAGGCTTATTTTAAGTTTTGAAGTGGCCTCTGATACCGGCTTAACTCAGAAGTACTAATATATACGTGAAGATTTTTTGAATTTGCCGTTGGTATGGCAAGGCGCACAGGAAGAGCTGTAGTGGAGTGGAAGCCACTGATTGTGTGCTTTGTGGTCACGGGTGATTGTAACGGAAGTTTTGCTTCAAAACCAATGAAGATACTAAGCAGCTTAAGGGAACTGGCTGCGGTAGGCAACAGAGGTATAAGAGAAATAACAAGTTGTTCAATGCAGATTGTAGAAAAAGAACAAGCACAAAGGTAGAGAAACAGTTCTCAATATGACGTATGACGAGTTTCAGATCGTAGATCATGCAGCTCTTCATCTTGCTTGTGCCGGGACACCCAGTCCGCACACTCAAGGCTGGGACAAAACAGAAATTAGAAACTGGACAAGTAGACACTCACATGATAGGCTGAAGGCCTTCTAAAAAGAACTGGCGAGAAGTAAAAATTACGACAGCATAGAAATAGTAAAGTCAAGTCCGGTTAAAAACTTAAGAAGTCACGGAATCTACCAAATAAGAGTATAATTCATGTATATCTTAAACAAACTGTAAATTCCACATCCCACAAGTAACTAGAGTGGAATTCCACACTTCATCGACACCATGCCTAACCCTTCTAGGGTAGGGTAGGTGCCTGAGCCCGAGCCTTTAGCTCATAAGACTGTCATTCCCATTTGCCCCCTTGGGGCGGGGATGGCAGACAGAGGGCCTAGCTTGTGGCTAGGCCTGGGGACAGTTGGTCCCAAAGATGAGGAGGTACTTGTGCCTCCTCCCATGGGAGACTTAGGTCTCAGACACTCCCTAAAGAGGGAGCCAAGGCCTGGCCACCACTTGGAAAAGGCCCGGGCCGGGAGAATACCGGCTAATCTTTAATAATAATAATATTAATAATAAAATTTCACACTTAGAGACTCGATGAAAGGTGGAAGCCAAGTGACATTCACTGTCACTAAATTTATTCTCTATAAAGATTACATTACGGGGTTTACATATTATGGAATATTGATTACAATGTGTGGTTTACATATTATAAAATACTAAATAAGGGCCACTTATCAGCACCCACCGGGTGGAGAAGGGAAGGGGGTGGGGTGAAGGTAATGACGCACACGCCCCTTTCAGAAGTGCCAAACTACCAATCACACTGTCTCCACCACTTCCATACTTCCACTCTTATTTAATGAACTTTTCCCTCACACCAAGATCTTCTCAAGGAGCAGGAAGAGGAGCTGGCAGAGGAATTTTCTTCACCGGATCATGAGGAGGTTCGAAATACTAAAATTTCCACTGATGAACTTAAGAGTTGTTTGTCAAAAACGCAGAGCATAATGAAGAAATGGCACCCTGACGTTGCTGGTGAGTCACAACATTAATTCTTTCAGTGACAATGTAGTTGAAGACTTTGGTAAGATTATGAGGGGTGGGCAGACACCACGTTGGACATATTCCTTTTAAAACAGAAAGAACCGAATGCCTTTTCCAGTTTTGAGTCCCCATAATCTTCTAGTGTTTGTGCAAAGAGACACAAACGAGACCACAACACTCCAGTTAACTCAAGTCAGTAAAGGTAAAGTTCGAGTTTCTCTGTTTATGTGAGCTGTTTTTTGGGGGTAACTTTTCGTGGCCCAGAACCAATTAGGTGGTGTGCGAACTTTTCGCAGTTCGAACACCACCCAGGAATTAAGTTCGAACGCGGAGGTTCCACTATATATATATATATATATATATATATATAATATATATATATATATATATATATATATATATATATATATATAAATACAAGAATTCGCAAGAGCAGGCGAAATATACACAAACACTGATCTCTGGCTGAAGGAGACTCGAGCCTACGAACCTTGGAACAAGGTTAGCAGTGCTATACCAAACTCACCACACTGGACCAATACCTTGGAGTCCAGCTTGCGCTAGACTTTGATCCAAGGCAGCCAGCTTTCAAGGAGAAGGCTTACAGCTTTTCATCTCATCCCCTGCATGCATCAGCCAGCTTGCATCAAAGTCTAGCGCAAGCTGGACTCCAAGGTATTGGTCCAGTGTGGTGAGTTTGGTATAGCACTGCGTACCTTGTTCCAAGGTTCGTAGGCTCGATATATATATATATATATATCAATAACAACACTGCACTAGCCAAGGACTCGAACCCATGCTGCTTTGGCCTGCCTCATGGTGGGGAAAAACGCATGACGCCCTAATCCACGGGACCATACGATCCTTACAAGTAGGGCATCCAGCGGAACTGGATGTTGTACTCCCTACCCAAGGACACACGATGGTGTGGATGACTCTAGGCTAATAAAATTCTAGTCCGTTTGTTGTACTAGCTCAACGAGCAGTATTAAGATTAGTGGATTAGGGCGTCATGCGTTTTCGCCCACCATGAGGAAGGCCAAAGCAGCATGGGTTCGAGTCCTTGGCTAGTGCAGTGGTCACAATAAAAATATATATATATATATATATATATATATATATATATATATATATATATATATATATATATATATATATATATATATATAATGTGTGTGTGTGTGTGTGTGTGGTATAACTGATGCCACCTAGTTGGTTACTAAATTAAGACATGTTATAAACGTGCCTAACATTGACCTTGTATTTAGCAAAAGAGATTAGAAGTAGAATGGGATGGAAATCTATTAAGTGTGGGTTGACTAGTGGATGATAAACCACTGAATGTCTCGTTAGACTTGCATTAGGACACACCTCCTTGTTTCCTGAGAAGCAAAACATTACTCAGGACACACTTATCTGTTTCCTGACGAATACAACAGCATCGTCCTTAAATCCTTATCATCTTATGGTGTTGAAGGCAATGCTGCAGTTACAGCGTCAATCAGGAGTCAGGCATCTGCATTATTGGTTCTGTCAGGTCCACTATCTAACTCAGTAGTAACAAATGGTACGAGCCACAAGCGGGCCAAGAGAGAAACACAAATGCAGTATAATGCCACCATTTACTGAAACGTTTCGCCCACACAGTGAGCTTTATCAAGCACAGTGGGTGGGAGAAACGTTCTCAACAAATGTTCACATTATATGTACTGCATTCGCGTAACTGTTACATAGCGTCGATATTTCTTTTTTTTTTTTTTTTATTTTCTCTCCAGATTGTTTGCTTGTTTAATTCATGTTAAGCGTTGTACCTGTGTGGGTCATTCACCGCAAGACGTGGTAGAGGCTTCACTACAGTAACAGTGTTATGTGTCACACATTACTGTACACAGTACAAGATTAAGTTTGTAACCACGGATTAAACCTGATAACCTCCCATTTCCCAGGCGCTGTGTGACCCCTACACTGTAGAAGTTCACTATCATAATAATAATAATAATAATAATAATAATAATAATAATAATTAATAATGAACATTATTATAATGAAAAGGAGGAGAGAAAAACGACGAATTTTAAACATTGCAGAGAGGAATAGGCTGGAGGCAGTAGAGATGTCATGGATGAAAGTAATGTGGTGTGATTATATTGAGAACTGTGAGCGTAGAAATAAGATGTGGGGTCACCACACACAATTTATAGAGTAGAGGAAAGGTTGTTGAGGTGGTTTGGGCATTTAGAGAGGGTGGAGCGGAATGCGATGACCTGGAGGGTGTACAAGTCTGGGATAGAAGGAAGGGCAGGCAGGGATTGTCCCAAGAAGGGTCGATAGGAGGGTGTGAAGGAGGTTGTAAGTGGTCGAGACTTGAGCACCCAGCAGGCATATGTGAGCCTGTTAGAACGGAGTGGGTGGAGGCAAGTGATTTGTATTGTTTGACGTGCTGTTGGAGTGTGAGCACGGTAACATCAATAAAAGGGAGGCAGGGAAACCGGTTAACCGGACTTGAGTCCTGGAGGTGGGAAGTAGAGAGACGTGATGAGTGCTTCAATCACAGGAAATTATTTATACGGTGAAGAAAGTATTGAAGGTGGAACAGCACGAGCATAACTATCCTGCTGTGGCTACAGATATGTAATTACGTACAGTTAATAACAAATAGGTAATTGGTTACCTTGCCATACGGCGTGAGTCCCCGGGTATTGGGAGGTTGAGATCCTCGTTCTGAACACTCGGCCCTGGAGAAGCACCAGCACAGTCAACGTTAAGAGAACGTAAAATCAACCTTCTTGATCACACATCACAATCACAAGCCTCGCAGTCAGTCCTTACAGTCTTAACAATCACAATCCTTACCATTAAGATTCCCATGGCCCTCACTATCTAAAGAACGGCAATCCTGACAGAATCCTAACGATCACAGCCACTATCCTCACAATTACAGTCATCTGTCTAAAAGGATAGTTATGTTGTGACCTCCAAAAAAGCAGTACACAAAAGCAAGACAAACTTTAGAAAGTTGTGACTTACCAAGGGGTGTGACTTACCCAGAGTGTGACTTACCCAGAGTGTGACTTACCATGGGGTGTGACACTTGTGGGTGAGTGTGACATAACGTACTCCCAGGTCGTACACGGCCCTTAGTACGCCCATGCTGTTGGCCAGCCCATGACCGCCTTCCACGCCCATCAAACTAGCTACACGCCCACGCTCAAACTCCTCCAGGATTCCTGGTGACACACGTCAACAATTGCAGTATTCTTGTCTAGCCAAGAATCACTTATCATGCTTTATTATTTTTGCCTATAAATAGATAAGTTCACAGACAGTATCTCTCTCATTTTCAATTTCACGGTTGTAAATGGAATACTTTTTTTTTTCGCAATATAAACAAGTCCAGGAAAAACATTCTTTTTCTCACACTGATAGTTCACCAGTAATATTATTCTGACAATTCCAGAATCTCTATATACCGTGCTTGTGATCTCATTTGGCATTCCTGGATTAAACTGACTAGCCCACAGGGTGGTCTCTCCCGTGGTCTTTATCGTAGTTTTTATCGTGATCTTTATCGTGGTCTTTATTGTGGTGTCCCTGTGGGTGACTCCACCACTAACACAGTCTATGACAAAGTATAATTCAGCGACTTGATCACCTGCCTGGTAACAGCCTGGTTGATTAGACCCTGATGCACCATGAGGCCTGGTCTCGGACCGAGCTGCGGGGGCGTTGACCCCCGAAACCCTCTCCATTTAAACTCCAGGTAATCCTCAGTGATCTCATAGGTTAGGTAAGGTTTGTCAGGAAACAGGACAAATACTTCCTGAAGAGGATTTTAGTCAAATGATGACCCGTAGCTAGAGCTTTCTCAGTAAACGTTTCAGTTTGCGCCACTGGTTCCACAACATTCTCAGTGAATGTTTGGTCCAGGACTCGAGCCCTCAACAATCACAGTAAACTCCGAGGTCCGCTACTCTAAGAGCCTGCCCATAAATCTGCCCTCAGACTTTTCCACATCTACACTGACACTTCGCTAAAAATCTACTGATGTTGACCCCTTACATGCCTGTGTGTCCTTGTAACTCACCGGCCGAGGAGTGGACGAGAGTGGTGCTGGTGGAGCTGATAGAGATCATTCGCTTCACAACATCGATTTGTTCCAATAGAAGCTGCACCGTATTGAGGTACTGCGACTCACACGGTATATACACTGACCAGAACTGTGGGAGAAAGAGTATGAATGTACCACCCAAGTACCACCATCCCCCCCCATCCTTTTTTTATCTTAAAATGCAATTGTAACAACAGTTTTTAATTATAATTATGATAATTTCCGTTTTTCAGACTATTTCCTGTGAACCACCAAAACTAAAATATTTTGGTTAAAATTCTATTATTTTAAAGTGGAAGTGTTATACAAGACGACGACGACGACGACGACCACCACCACCACCACCACCACCACCACAGTCACATCCCACCACCACCACCACCACAGTCACACACACCCCCACCACCACAGTCACACCACCACCACCACCACCACACAGTCACACACCACCACCACCACCACCACCACCCACCCACAGTCACACACCCACCACCACCACCACACCACGTCACACCCACCACCACCACACCACGTCACACACCACCACACCACACATCACACACACCACCACCCTACCACAGTCACACACCACCACCCACACATCCACACCCACCCCACCACGTCACCACATCACCACCCCCACCACACCCACCACCACCACCACCTACACAGTCACACAACCCACACCACCCCTACCACAGTCACACACCCACCTACTCACCACCACCCTACCACAGTCACACACCACACCACCCTACCACAGTCACACACCCACCCTACCACAGTCACACCCCCACCACCTACCACAGTCACCACCCACCACAGTCACACACCACCCACCACCCTACCACAGTCACACACCACCACCACCCTACCACAGTCACCACCACCACCACCCTACCACAGTCACACACCACCACCACCCTACCACAGTCACACACACCACCACCACCCTACACAGTCACACACCACCACCACCCTACCACAGTCACACACCACCACCCACCTACCACAGTCACACACCACCACCACCCTACCACAGTCACACACCACCACCCTACCACAGTCACACACCACCACACCCTACCACAGTCACACACACCACCACCTACCACGTCACACACACACCACCTACCACAGTCACACACACACACCTACCACAGTCACACATCCACCACACCTACCACAGTCACAACAACCACACCTACGCAATCACATACACACACCACCACTCCACAATCCACTGGCGACCACCACCTTCACTAGCGTCAGGTCTGAGCACACATCACAGTACTTCAATTTGTACACCTGGAGAGTACAGAGTCAGATCGTTGTGAGATAAACCTTACGAGATCAGCCAGTCGTTCGTCTAACCACCAACCAACACAAACCACTAAGTGGCGTTAACTGGCTTCTACTGGGATAGTCTTAGTGTAGAATGGAATTACTTACCAAGGCTGGTACTGAGTAGCGTGAGAGGTGAAGGAAGATGCCGGTTCTTCGAGAAACTACGAGGCATTCAAGACCAGGTCGTATGTGTCTGAACACTCAACATATTCTAACACTTAAAATGATTATTAAACTAGGTAATTTAGGAACATTACATACTCTGAAAATATTGACACTTACTTACACTGGAAGATGCTCGGAATAACTTCTTAGCAGAGAACAAGGAATTGTTTTAAGAAATAATCTCGGATCTTCAGGGATAGAGACAGGTGTCAAATATTGAAGACACCACGCTGTAAGTAACAGCTAAACATCTGACAAATGCTATTAACTCTTAAAGAAGATAATAAATGTAAATTAGAATTTCAGATGAATACATAACATATCTAAATTGCCATGTATACCACTTGATGTATATACATGAAGATTGACCTTCAGGTATAATCTGGTTCAGCTAAATCGATCTCACAAGCTGATATGTTCTTTAAATCAAGTAAATGTAATTTTCATTTTGTCTATGATTAAAGAAGTGTAAAAAAATTCAATTTGTAAATGTCAATAGCACCGTGGCACCGTAAGATGAAATTTATATTGAAATCGTGACCCAAGTATTCATCATCTATAACAGAATGAATCGAAAACATTGTGAACAAGTGTAGGAACTTTCAATGAGGTAAATAAAATGTTAATCTCTAACAGGCGCAAGTACTCAACCAGGCTGTATGTATTACTGTGGGCCAAACCGTCCCAGGTGCAGCTGGTGACCGGCACACCAGAATGCCTGCCCAGGGTGGCTCCAGCAGTAGAAATTTCGAACTCGCCGAAGGTAAGTGTAATTTTTTTTGTCACCAAAACTAAACAACCAAACTAACTTTGATAG